AGGAATGTTTTAGCACCTTTGTATTGTACAGTAAATGATTTACTACATTTTAGACAACAGAAGCCCACCAATATCCATTACTACCAACTGTGATCCATACTTATTATATGCTTGACCCAAGCTTATTGTTATTTCCAAAAGATGACTTTTTTTAGTTACCATGCCATACTTCACCACACTAACTTATGCATTGTACTCGATAACATATTGAAAACCATTTCCTTATAAAAAGCGTTTGCTGCTGTAACTTACTTTCTAAAAAATCGTAATTAGAAGTAACACAGTTTTTCTTTGGTTACTTAAATTTGTATGGATGAGTTACCGATGTTAGAGTGACAGTGAATGCAACTTACTGTTGGGATTTTTCATTACATCTAAAATAGCATTATGCAGGAATATTTGAAATTCTATGGAAAATGGTTACATCAGAGCTCTGAAGGGCTTATTACTACACAGATACATTTTGATTTGAAGAGAGTAATTCACAAGCTTGATTCTTAAATTAGACAGCAATATTATTCTAGTTTCTGTGGAAATAATCAGCTTCATGTATTGTATCATGAAACTGTAAATATCTTACTTTAATATTTAAATAGTAGATTTAATATATTCCAGTTTCATTTTTTCCTTTACAAAATGAATGTATGAACTCCTGACAGGTAAGTGCTGCTAGAATAGTGACCTTTTAATAACCAGTTGGATTAGTTTAAAGTTCTATAATACACATAGTTCTGGAAATCATCTCAAGAGATAGTAGCATAAAGAGTTCCACAACACATTTATCTTTCTGAGAATTCTTGTTTTTCCGAAAAAACAAAAACTAGCTGTTCTAAACACAATTAATTCATTTCATCTTTTACCTAGCCAATTTCCAATATGCCAAGACCTTAACTACTCACTATTATTCCACCTGATTTACAACCATACAATCATATAAACTTTTCCCATGTCTCATTTGTATATAAGGAAATCTGAGCCCCAAAACTGACTACTCTTGGGTGGTTTTTTTTTTTTTTAATTTAACTTTTTTTTAAAGAAATGTTTTGTGTTCCAAGCCAAATCAGCCAAATCAAGTCCAAATCCATAAGTCAGTCCAGAACCATAAGTGGCCCATCAACTGGCAAACATCCTCCACCCCACCTGAGGCTTCAGATATTTCCAAAGTCTTTTGGCAGACATCCTACATGCAGGCCCAAGGCCAGAGGCTTGCGGTTCAGATGCCCTTAAGTTTCACCTGCCCTCAGCCATATGGCTGCAGGGGTGAGCTAATGAGGAACCTCCCATTTCCATAAAGTGGGTTTTAAGCCCCAACACCTCGGTGGGTACTAAACCATGCCAGAAGAACAATTATCCCCGGGAACGCTTAAGGAAACCTGCCTTCATGGACCCAGATGCATGGTGTTTCCCCTAGGTGTAGGGAGGGTATGTGTCTCCACTTTATAACTGTCTAAATGCCACATTAGTACCTTCTGCACTTACCTTAATGTGGGTCATAAAGATATGGTATCACAAGTAAGAATTTGCAATGGTGCAGTTCCCTGCTTGCACCACCGCTTCTCCCCCTCATAAGTTAAATGCAAGGCTAAGTGATTTGGAATTTGTAGGCCAAGCCATTTTGGAGATGTGAGTGAACATTAAAACAATCAATTCCCCCAATTACTATTCAGCAGGGCAATGTCACAGTTCACCAGTTCCATCCACAATTTTGACTCTGCTTACATTAGGAGGGCAGTCTCCTTTAATTAAGCAGCCCATTCTCAATTCCATCACAAAAATGTCTCAATGCTTGAAAGAGATCAGTACCTGAAAGAAGAGATGGTTCAAACAAAACCCAGGAAAAGCTGAAGTGATCTTAGTTGGGTTTTGAAAAGGTCCAAAGAGCTGGTTAGATACTGACTTATCTCTCTTTCATTCCAGATCTCTAACCCCATTTTAGAATAAGATGAAGCCTTACGGTTCTGCCGGATCACAAATTCTATTTAATTGGGCAACTACAATGTTGACATCATCCATCTTCAGCTGGTTAAGAGACTAAAAATTTCTTCTTGGATAAAGATTTGTAGCAATCTACATATTAGTTAGCTTGCTACTAGGCTGCAGTGTCCCTGAGGGTTAAAGGTGAACCCAGTTTAGAGGCTCCAGGTTATGATTCCACACTTGTTACATGCCATACAAACCTCTGTTTTCCAGTCCTTCTACTGGCTCTCTCCCTTCCATCATCAAAACCACCAGCTAGTCAGGACCCTGACCTGCAAGACATCTATACTCCCCACAAGACAATGCATCAAGAAAAACCCCAGGGTAAAAAGTAAAAGAACAAGGGAGAATATTCTTAGCTCTGAGGGATTTGGGCTATAGAACAAGCTACCAACAGATTTCCCACCCCTATTAATGGTATATTTAAAGAAAAGGACCTTACAAAAACTCTAAGACCATGACAACACAACCACTCAGAGCATCATTTTGGACTAACAAATATTGACTCTACTATATACCCCAGCAGAGGATTTACCTCAACTAACAGACAGCAAAGAACGATTAAAATACCTCTTGCCTCTAAAAAACACAACTTTCCTATCAAGCAGAAGGCCTGTATGTGGCACTGAAGTGGCATCAAATCAGGCTGCTCTGGATCAAAGAACAGGGAGCACATTCCAACGTCCCCTGGCCCTTACAGATTATACCTTGCCAGCAGCTTCAGTTTGTTTGCTTTTGCTCTTTTTTAAACAATACAAGGGACTTGTTCAAAGAACCCAGTTCAAAGGGTGTTACTGACCTCACAGCAGGGGTAGCATAGAAGAGGGAGAGGCACTATTTGAGATACAGAGGTTTTGGGCCACTGGGTGCTTCAGAGCTCAGGAACATCACATTAAACCAGTGGGGCTCAACCTTTTTAGACTCAAGACACCATTTAGAAAGTGCCAGCTCTTAGTTTTGATTTGTTTTTTGACTATGGAAAAATAATAGAGCATTTTTTCTGTTGCAAAGAACTCAGAGACCACAACAAATCAGAATGTTTTTAATATTATGGACAGAGGTGCGCTGATACATTGATCCAATACTGGATGGGCACTGATATAAACAAAAGTTTCTGTATCAGAAATTGGCCCGATGCAGCCAAAAATTCGTCCGATAAATGGCCGTGCAGGCACGCAACACAGTGCAGCACACAGGCAGTGAGGAGCAGAGCCAGTAGCATAGACTGCTGCATGCAGCTGGTAAATTTGGTGTGGTAGAAGGGGAGTGGCATGGGGGGGCAGATCAAGGCCCCCGCAGTGAGGGAGGGTGTGAGGATGGGGCTGCCCAGTCAAGGTGGGGGTGGGACGGAGGTGCAGCTCATTCGGGGGGAGGGGGGAGGTCGCTCAGGAAGGAAGGGACAGCTCCTAACACTGTGTAGCTTGTCCAGTGCTCATCTGGCTGCTCCTGTCACTGCTCCCACTGCTCATCCAGGAGGGCACCTGGAAGGGGGGGCGGCAAGCTGGGGCTGGGTTCTTCCCAGCTGGGCAGATCTGGGGACACGTCTGCCCACGTCCTCCCGGACAAGTGGTGGGAGCTGCCAGACAA